AACTTCTGGCCAAGTCGTGCATTGGATGGCCAATTCCAAATAGGATGCAATTACAAATCAATTAGTAACTAGGATTATAACTAGAATGTTGTACAACAAGGATTTGGCCCTTAATAGATCGCATGTAAGTATTAAAACTTAAAAAATTTAAATGTAAAAATGCAAAGGGAAACTTTTTTGCAATGGCTTGCATGTGTGTGTGTGTGTTATGGCGTTGCCACTTGATGAAAACATCATGGCCGCCAATGGCCACTGCAATGGCTTTGAAAATGGAGGTCCTTATTGTAGAGTATAAGCCCTTCGACTTGCAGGTGCCTCCTCTTGGATAGGATCTCTCTCTTCATCTGGCCGACTCTCCGGCATTCCTGCCTCCAGCTCGGCTTGCCCCTCGTCCCCCTTATTTTGCTCCCCATTCCTCGGTGGGGCAGCAGGCATTTGAAAAACGTTGCGGCATTTTTTGCGTGTTTGGCCAGAAGCATCGGCCAAAAAAAAAAAAAAAAAAAGACGCCAAACAAACAAAAACGAGAAGAAAAGCAAAGGAAAGGAAAAAAAAGGAAGCAGCAGAAGAATGAACTAATTGTTGCTGGCCTGGCTTTGGACTGACTTTTGTTGTTTTTATTTTTTATTTTTTATAGCCGCTGCTTATTTTTTTTTGCTGTCAAATTGTTTTCGTCAACATTGCAACTGACTGACTGGCTGACCCATCATTATGGCGACGGATTGTGTGGATTGTGGCCGGGCCGAAAAAAAAACAAAAATTCCAGCGAAAAAAAGCTCCAACTTGAGTTATGTCCGCCATTCGCCATTCGCCGTTCGCCGGACTTCAAAGTCAGTTCCCAGTCAACAGAAAAACAAAAAAAAAACAATGGCAGCGGCATTTATTATTTTTTTTGCTATATTTTTTCGTACATTAATTTTGTTGTTGGCCCCCGTATTTGACATTATCAGCGCGCTAAGTCGTTTCAAATGCCGCCCTGATGGGTTTCTCATTGCCTCTCGTGTCCCACTGCCTTGCCGTAATTACAATGCAAACACAGCGTTCTTCCCTCTCTATCTAGCCCGCTGCGGCTGTCTCTTTCCCTGGCTGAGGAACCAAAAAAAAAAACGTAAACCAGGTAGCCGGTCCCAGTGGACCTCAGCGGGTCTGGGTGTCTGGCGCTCCCTGATAAGAGAGCTCTGGGTTACTTTCCTTATCAGTACCGCCTGGCGGATGAACTCTTTTTTTTTGTTTTTTCTCCATTTTCCTCAACAGACTTTTTATGATTTTCGCTGATAGCCGAGGGCCGAGCAAACACATTAGTTGTTGTTCTTATTTATCGGAAATGCCGGCAACGAAAATGGGAATTTATAATGCAAGATATAATGACGGGGGCGATGTGGGCGAACCTGATGACACCTTGAGACCCTGGATTAGAGACACTTAGGTGAGAGACACTCACCGCCACCTATTGAAATTTTCGAAATGGAGCCCGGAGCCAAAGATAAAAGCACCTTCGACTATTTCGAGAGCCTCTGGGGATTATTTGCTTCGACTCGGTTCCGAGGTGCGAGTAATTTCTTTAATCAAATGCGACTGTGACTGTGACTGCGACTGAGGCAGATATAGATAGTGTGATATCGGATTGATATAGCCTGGGCCGCCTAAGGTTAAGTCACGGGCTATATATACGCGGCCGATACAGGCCTTTGGCGAGCGATAAGCCGCTGGCAATTGCCATAAAAAAGTTGGCTTTTACGGCATTCCTTTGGGCACCACTGAGGCACCACAGCCATGCTTGGCTTTTATCACAGCCCGCCCCCCCAAGAGGCGTTCGAACTGGAACTGGTTGCTGAGCAATCTTAATGGGTTCTGATTTTCAAAATCAAACAATTTTATTGTCGCCATCGTGGTTGCTTTATGGTTGCCATCTATGCGGTCGCGGCCTTGTCTGATGTTTATTTACCTTTTTTTTTTAGCTGCAGGTGAGGCCCGGCCGGGCGAGGTGGGGCTTAGCGGGCTTGTGGCCCGGCTTTCGGACTTTCGTCGGCCCGCCCCGTCACACCGACTAATGCCTTGCTCAAATATTTACAATTACTTTACATAAAATGCCGCAACGTATGGTCGTTTGGACGACGGAGGGAGTCTTGCCCGTGTGATTTGTGATTCAAAAACATCTTCTATCTTTTGTGATTTTCAAAAGTCTCATTGCTAACCGAAAAAGTGACTTTATCAGCCGGCACTCAGAGAGGTCTTTCCCTGCTCCTCCGACATGTCCAGACCCCGAGATCGAGGGCCCAGCAGATGGAACACCGAAAGTGCATTTCCCGAGGGTTATCATTTTGTCAGATTGTCGTTTGTTTGCTCGCTGGCTGGGCTGTTTGTGGTGTGTCGTGGTGTGTTTGTCAAGTGGGCGGTGCGGGCCAAGTGCCGACAAAGTGCTCGTCAAGCGACAATTACAAGCAAATTAATTGAAAGTACGCCCCAGGGGGGACTTTTTGTTCTCAGATAAGCATCGCCGGCACTCATGTCATCAGTGGGGGCAGGGAATTGGGAGGAACCTTTAGATTAGACCTATAACTAAGGAACAGCTGGACGAAGGCTAGGAACCTCCACAACTAGAATGCTTAAAACAATAATCCAGATAATCCAGGATATGAACTTCCCATGGCCCATTTCGAAGCGTAAACTTCCCCTCTGGCTGACTGGCTGACTTGCAGACTGGCTGACTTTGATGTGGATGCCATGTGATCTCGGGCACTTTGTTATCGGTTCCTTGATCGTTATGTAAATAGAAGTCCACACACATATATGCACTCGCCTTTGATGGCCGTTGTTGGTGCTCTTTTTACGGCCGCCGCTGCCGAATTCTTTTGATTTCTGTACCAGCCTTATAGTTCTCAGATCCAGACTAGGCTGCCTTTGATCTGTTTTAGGTGCTTCCGATTCAATTTGTTCGGCGGAGGTGGAGGTGGAGATGGCGGTGGAGGGAGGCTGCTTTCGTTTTTATTGCCACTTGAGGCACACTGGCCCGCTAGATCTCTGTGGCTCGTATAAACAAAAACCAAGGCTGGAAAGCCAGAAAATCGAATGGATCGGACAATGCATTTCGGAGCGTTTTCACAGCGCCACGATATAACAAAGTAGGCGGCACCGCGCTCAGCAAACGCCCAACAAAAAATAATAGAAGCCAGGCAGAGGCCAGAAATAAAAGAGAAGGACGGGAGGTGGGGGCTAGCAAGACCGCAGCCAGATAAAGAGCCGAAAGGCCTCTATCTATGGTCTTTGGCCAGCAGCTCCTGTCGCCTGGATTTCCTGCCTAATGACAGTGCTGGCACTTGAAATCAAACCTCCAGCTATGTTTGAAAAGTAAATCGTATGGCCTAGAGACCTAGCTACTTTTTAGACCCAAGTCTTGGCTGAAAACCCGCCAAGGCAGCCATCTCAGTCCATGGTTCTCCGCACTTTGCATCGACACATCGACGACGTCGACATTCGGCTCTTTCATCCAAAAGCGGGCATGGGCATGAAATGCAAGACACGCTCAAAGGAAACCGAAGACCGAGGAAAGGTGTTAATGGACCAACCTGGGCACACACACACTAAGCCGCAACTGATGCTCTTCTCTACACTGCACCCATCCAGGTAGTCTGGCGGTCGTGCCACGCATTAGAGTTCTTCGATTTTTTCAAGTGCAGATTCTCCTCGCAGCGGCAGCTCTTTCTTCTCGGCCACTAGCTCGCAGCCATCGGCTCGGCGGAGAAGATTTCCACAAACTAGCCAGCCCAGCCCTCCTCCCCAGCCACTCTTCACGCACTCAGCTGCAGCTACTCAGCGCTTTTCCAGGGCCTTATCGTGGTTAGTTATGCTATAGTATGGAAACATCATTCTAAATAATAGTACACACCACTTTCCAGCCCAAAACCCATGTGTGGGAGACCCTTGTGCCTCTCCCCTAATTGAAAAGCAATTAAATGTCGTTCCCTGCACTCCTCTCGAGTGATAACAGCGCGTAAGTGTCTGCTGCGCCTTGTAGGTTTTTATCTAGATAGTGTCTATCGAGTCGGATGTCGGGGGTCGGTGCTCGGTGCTCGGTGGTCGGGGGAAACCTTCACCATTTGCCTGCCGCCGTGTCTTGTTTCCCAGGGCGTTGCTAATGGAAATGGGAATGGAACCCCCTCTAGACCATGTACGAATGTACAATCAGAGGCAGCGGGAGGCCCTCCGAAAAGGCCCGAGGCGGGACGGCGGGGTTCTCAGGGCCTCGATAAAAAAGAAACAGAAACGGACGGAATCTGAACCTCGACGTTATGAATAAAATTATTGAAATCTCCATACTGCTCCAGTTTTGTCTTCCAAACGAAAGTCGCTCCGGCCCGGCCTGCTATCGGGGCAGTTAATCAGCAGGAAAGTTAAGTAAGTGGTGCTCGCAACTTAAAATGCAATTAGCCCAGCCCCAGCCCCCCTATCCCTCCACCTCTAGCTCCACCTCCCCATCCATATTTTGTAGTAATTTTTTATTTATTTATTTTTTACTTGTTGCTGAGTTTGGGTTTCTGCTTATCTTACATCGGCGGCAGCCACACCGCAACTGAAGAGAGTGTGTGGGCGGACGGAGGGGCTGGCTCGGGCTGGGATCTTTGATGAGCTGCCGCCATGGCCCCCCCGGTACTGAGGCCACGTACCCGCCATTCACAATTCGTACACTCCACAAGAGCCATGGCTGCTTTTCAGCAATGTTGTGCTTGCTTTTGTTTTCAACTCTTGACGGCCCTCTTGATGCGCACTTGGGGACTTGAACCGCTCAGATATGGACTTGAAACACACAGTATCGGATATTTGGAGGTTCACCTAGTTCGGACTCCTAAACTCTCGCCGGTCTGAGTGCTTAGTCGCTCTGCTCTTGGCACGTAGCTGTCGAGAACTGTTTTTATGGGCCACACAAAAAGTGGAGCTTATCTGAATGCCCGAATCTCCATGGCCGGACGTGCCAGCTCTCTGGACTGGACTGGGGTTGCCTTACCTGCAGCTCAGCCTCCAGCTGATTGGTGTGCCCCGCCAGGTTGGGCAGAGCGGTCATGTTGTAGCCGAGTCCCTGGCAGGCGGAAACGGCAATCCGCTGGCACTGTAATCCGTTCGGGCCGGCAGCCTGGCCGCCGTTCTGGTGGGGACTGCTGGCCATGGCCGGAACCAGGGCCAGAGCCAGGAAAATTAGCAGTGGCATCATGGTGAGCATCTCTGCGTGTGGCTTCCGATGACAGTGATCAGGTGGTGCGTGTGGGCAGCATCATAGTCGTATTAGAAAGACCGGCAGTTTTTCAGACACAGGCACGTAAAAAAAAATGGATTTAGTTCTCGGGTTCACCGGACAGTTTATGCGTATTTCGGGTCTCGCGTGGAAGACAGTTTAAGCACTTGGTAACAGAGTCAGTCAGAGATCAAAACACAAGAAGGCCAGGTTGCGAGAATGCGAAGTTTTGGCCACTTTTGCCCGTGAGATTTGCCCGAGATATCCGAACGTCCGTCGTCGAGCGTGGAGCATTGGGTTTTGAATCGAGCGGGTCTCGGCGAGCCGCGACGAAGTCTCTGGTCGGCAGCTGGCAACGAGTTCGATCGAACATGTTCGACTCAGGTGGGCAAGACTACCTGGAAGGAATACCAGTGGCTAGTAGGGACAAGTTACTCTTCTATTTTATCAAACGGGAAGGAAGGTGCGTCCTTTGAACAGGTGGACAGGAGGTCCACCATAGACCTGGTTGGCTATGAGTCCTTATAATGCCTCCCCCAGGTGGTGGTTTATGTATCTTCCTGTTTTTAAACTACATGGTAAGCTTAAATGAATCAATATCCTGTCCACATCCTGATGGATCTGTTCTGGAAACTGATTTGTGGCCTATGGAAGGGATTTCCTTAAAGATCTCATAAATAGTCAGGCGGCAGGTGAGGTGAAGCACTAACCTGGGGCATTGCAAAGGTTTGAATCGAACTCATACTAACAAAATAGTACACTAAAAGAAAATACCTTAGAATGCCTTAAACTTTGCTTAAAATATAAGCCTTTAAAGGACTGTAGACCCACCTCTATAAGTCCTAATAGATCTATATTTTCTTTAATATTTCTTAAATTCATTATAGGTTTTTTTTCAGTGTTGGAATCCGATCGGGAGCAGCGACCAACCGCAACAGCAACATCAAACAAAACTGGTGGCAGTTCCCGGCCCAGAGTGGGGGTCGTTTTTGTAGACCCCAAGGGGTGGACGGGGGGAGTGGATGCAACTGAACACCGCGACCTCTACACGCTGCACCGCTGTCTTGGCCACTGCCTCTGTCGGTGGCAGAGCGAAGTCGACTGCGACGACGGCATCGGGATCGGCATCGGCATCGGCGATCTTTGATGTGTGCTTTGATTTCCGGCAGCCAGATAAGATTTTCTGCCCCACCGCCACTCTGCGCCGCAAGCCCCCTTGGCTTGGCTCACTGCCTCTCCCTGGGTGCTGTTGGATCCAAAAACGAATTGCTGCAAATTTCTGATGTCCCGCCCGCCCCCAGGTGAGTGTCCAGCCCAGGCGGTGGAGGGCGGAGCCGAGAGCTAATCGCTGGCATTAGATCGGCGGCCCAGCCACCTGCCCGGCCCCGAAAGCGGGCGTTTAGAGCAAGCTTCTAATTAAGTGGGATTTGGGCTGTTCACTTCCTCCTCGCATCTCTCAATTGCCATTGTAGATAATCCCCCGCACAGTCCATAGACGCGCATACATGCTCTAATCCCGAAAAAGAAGAAGATCTGGGGCTGGTTTCTCATTGTTTGTTTTCGTTTTTGTGCTGTTGATTCTGGAGATCCGCCAGTTGCCAGTTGGGCTGCCCGAACTCGGATGGATGCGCACGCAAAAACATCATCAAAGAGATCGATCTGAGAGCGGGGGTTAGAGTGGATCCAGATCGGGACAGGGCCTGGGCATAATAGCTAATGTAAGCACTTGCACTTGGCCTGCTTCCCCGGCCCCCGCACCCGGTCGCGTCTTTTGTTTACACAATATTCTTTTCAGATTCTTTTCAGGGCTGGCTGGCTGGCTGGCTGGCTTCCTTTGTGCCCCGGTGGTGGCGGTCTCCGAGAGTGTTTCTGTTAAGTGCCCCTATCACGGCGCTGCCGTCCCGCTCCCACGGATGACACACGTAAGTGCGGATCGCTTTGGATCAGAGGCGATTAGTCCAATTGTGGTAATAGGAGTCTATTGTGCCACGAATTTGGAGGTTCATCACCGTGGCGAGAGCGAGATGCCAAGAACCGGATATCGAATGGCCATCAGGCAGTGTTCTGGGTGAGTCACCGGCTCGCATCTGTTTGGCAAACCCTCGACAGAGACATCAGTTTCCAGAGATTGGCTTTGGCTTTGCATGGAAGTTGAAGTACTATTAGCTGTCGTCGCAGATAAATCTCGATCCGCTGGCGACACTTGGGGGGAACAATTCAAAGAGAAACGCCGCCGAGTTGCTCGGCCGTGGAGCGCTGTCAACATGGAAAACGATCATATTTTCCACGCCGTCTCTCCTCGCCGTCTTTCCATTTTCATTTGCCATTTTCCATTTTCCAGTTGGGTTTTCCCAGCGATCGGCTGTCGTGGCTGGTGACTTTGATTTTGATTTGTTTGCGCTTTTCCTCCGCCTGCCGTTCCTCCGATGCACTTTCCGATGTTTGACAAAGATACGACCGCCCAGCCCGCCCGTCGATGGGATGTCCCACACCATCCAACTCCCACACCAGGGTCTTTCCACGGATCCACAGATCCCCAGATCCGTGGAGCCACTATGCCAGTGGGCCATTAACTAGTTTTCTGGTCGGCCGAGTTCAAAAGCGCTTATTAATCTCTGGTACTTGTGTTTAGTACTTTTAAATACGTTTTGAGTACTTTATTCAGTGTGCTTGATGTTGTGCCGCCGCTTCAAGTCACGATGTTTGTCTTCCCTCCGATCTCCACACTACTCCGATCTCCGGCCACCTCCTCCTCCACCGTCCCTTGCTTTTGGCTTTTCTGATTTCTGTTTTTTTGCTTTTCGCTCTGGCGAATTGGACGCGCGTCAATATTTATTTTATTTATCTTCTTGGCCGCTCAGCTCACGGATCTCTGAAGCGGGAAAGCACAGAGGCGGAAAACTCAGGCCGGGCTTGGGGGCTACAGAGAGAGAAAAAGTCTTGGACTTTCTAGGCTACTCCTATTTTTTTTCCAGCCCCGTTTTCTTGCCGTGCACAGCGAGAAGTACACAGTACACCCTCAGTACAACCTGGCGCCCGCCTGCCATTCAATCCGCCCGACAACTCCCCAGCGACCGCTGCTTCATCCGCTTCTTTGAAGAAGCCTTAGGAATAATGCGATAATTACAATGCCAAGAACGATTCGCCAGAGGCACGGCTAGGGACTAGGGGGTGGTCTCGGGCTCTGTGGGGGACCGTGTGAACTGCCGCGGCCCAGACAAGCGTCTAGAGTTACCAGGTGGTGGGGAGTAGGGGCCAGAGATTAGCCGAAGCGGAGCTTCTGGGCGGCATGGAGTGGCTACTTCAGTTACACTAAATGCCAGCCGCATAGATCTCCCATTTGGACTCTGTTGGCAGCAACCATGTGATGGATGGGTGGCTCCTCGAAAGCCAAAATCAATAGTGGAGGAGGTGGAGGTGGAGGTGGAGGAAGGATCTCTGGTGGCCAGGCAGCCAGGCAGACAATGCCCCTAATTCGTATGTTTAGCGGTTGTAATTGCTCAATTGGCCCGCAGACAGACATCCGATAGGCCCAATTACAGGAGTTTAGGGCCTGGGATTGCGATCCTTGAAGCGGGAAGGGATGCCTGGCCGTAACCGAGCCTGGCGCTAATTCAGGTAAGAGGGAACAACAATGAAGCCGCGGACGGGCCATAAAGCTGCAGAACCCCAAATGCCAGTGCAAAAAGCTCACAAAAAGCGAATATATGAATTCCATTGTGCGGCCCTAGACATTCGTCTATAGAACTGCGCCGGAGGAGGGCGGGGACGAGCCGAAAATAATTTGCCATATCCTGGCGGGGCAGGCAGGGAAGGCAGCTGGCGGATGGCGGATGGCGAGAGACGAGCGACAGGGGGACTGGAACAGATAAGGGTCGTCGAGGGAGAATCGTCGGCGAAAGATGAAAGGCCGGCTGGGGTGCTAATAAAGTTGCCCAGCAAAAAGAACTTTGATCCATGGTCACAAAAGGGGGAACTCCTCCCCAACGGGCTGCAGCCAACAGGCTAGCCTGCTCCTCCTACCTTTTCCTTCCTGTCCCTGGCCACACCCCCTGACCCTGTGTAGGTGCTAATTTAGCGACCCCACACACTGATACCCAGACACCGCACAGAATTTCCATTTTCAACAGAAATGAACTCAAGATAAGACCTAAATGTCAAAATTATCAACACACGCAGGGCGAGAATTAACCCACTGATGGCTATAAATGGCACAGAGGGCCCAAAAGATTCAGGTCTCTAAAGGTAAGCTTCATACTTCTTGAACTAGGTATTCTAGATTGTCTTAATCTTGGGTTAAGTTTCAAAATAACTACTCTCCTTCATGTTATTTAAACATAGACAGTCGTGGGTTAAAGACCCTGATATGGACGGGGCTGGGAGGACTGCAGATCGAGCTCATCCTCGGCGGATGAAGAAAAAATGGCTTAAAAACCCAGAGGACCGGCGACAGACTCACAAAGTGCAAATATGTGTTGCCAGACCACAAAGCCTCTGACTTTGGCTCTGAATCCGAAACTGAAGCTAAAGGCAAAAGCGAAAAAGGCCCAAACGCAGGAGGGATGGAGGGCCAGCCCGGCCAACCCGGCCAGCCGATGGATGCGATTGCCTTGCCTCGAGATGCCAAAGTGCATCAGGCACTAAAATGCAGAAAATTGAAACAGGCTTTTAATGAAATGAAAGCGCCGCAAGAGATGAGATGCGCGACTGGCTGGAGTGGCAGTTGCTCCGACGAGGGGCTATCTATCCGGCTATCTGGCCGGCGTCCAGGGCTCGAAGATGGTGGCAAACGAGAGCGAGTGAGCCCAGCCAGAAACTAAAATAAAACAACAGCGAACACAAAGAGTCAATTAATTAGTAGATGGATCCGCGATTATCGCTATATTAACATTGCCCTGTGCCTGGGATGCACTGGGAGAAGCTGAAGCGCCGAGAAGGATGTTGTGCTCTTGTGGACTCTAGCCTGTTTCTTGCAGTGCCTAAGCCCGCGGCCTGTGAGTGGTCTTCCTGCGGCTCAAGATAACACAGACGAGGTGCCTGCTCCTCGGGATCGACTGGCAGTGGATGTGAAGTGGAAGCTGGGGAGTTCATTAAATGATAACAGGCCCGGGCGAGTAGAGCCAGCCGGGTGATAAGGCCATTTGAACTAATCCGCTCCGACAGGATGGGAACAGCTGCCACGATTCGGGTTCGGACGTCGGCAGATCAAATGATCAAATGGCCGAATGTCGGAATGCCTGGATGCCTGAATGGGCAACTGAACAAATGAATAATTGAACAAATGAACGACTGAACTAATGAACCAATGAGAATTCCCAGGAAAGACTAATGATGGCTGGAAACAGAAAGTAAGGCAATGAAAGGTAGCCCCTTTCAGGGAGTCCTCAGAAACAGAAGCTGTGCGGAGAAAAATGATTTAAATACACGCAATCCTCGAGGCGCCACACCGGGCCGAGTCCTCGAAATTTATGATGCAATTTGCGAGCAGAATCGGAATAAGGGAGGAACCAACAGGGCCTACAGATCAAACATATATTTGCATGTTCCCCGATTTATATTACTTTTCCAGTCCACATCGAACTGGGAGTCTCGAATTTATTGATACATCGGAGTTACGACAAAAAGAGTTCTGCTTTAAATGGGGATTAGCCCGATAGCCGGGTCCCTGGTTGCCCGATTAGCGTACTAATGTATAGGCCCCTGACTCATCCCGGTCCCGATGACTCAAGTTGGCCCATCGCCTAGTTTTGTTGACCCTCTTCCAGGTAGTTCATAAAACACAAGTCCCTCAAAAATACAGAAACAGATACGACAATAGTATGCTAAAATCGAAAGCCGCATTTCGCAGGCGACCCGGCGCAGATTATAAGCCACAGGTGGGGGGAGTCTGGAGTCTGAGCTTTGGGCACTGGGCTCTGGAGCCGACGGGGCAGGGCGAGGGACCTCAAGGAGCGGGAGCAAAACGGCAGCCATCCGAGAATCGCTTTACGTCTTCTGCGAAATATTCATTACAGCAAATTTGTAAAGGCAATATGAGCGGCACCACGGGGAGATGTGTGGCACTGCGAGAAGCCATTGGCATTGAAAGTATCTGCGAGATACTCTGAAGGTAGGCTTGTAGTCTTAAGGTTGTGCCTCTTCGTTACTAACTCCTTGCCTTTCTTCCAGTGCATTACCCGAGGCGGAGCAGATCTTAGCCCTCAGAAGATGACGCAGCCGGAGACTGGAACATGACTTGGCCCTGCTCCCCCTCTGGCCTGTAGGCTCCTCCTCCGTTTTTTTTTTGTTCTCTGCCTTGTGCTCCGTGTGCGAAATTATCTTTGGTTATTTGGTTATTATGCATTATGATGAGGCCTAATGCGCACAGTTCCTGTGTCTGCTCCGCCGCGAAACAGGGGAGAGAACCAGGCAGGGCGATCTCGGGCGCGAAGAGGGACGCCCCGCCACGCCACGCCAGGCTGGGAAACCTCCACTATTTGTATACAATATCGCTAATAGTTCCAGGCGGAAAATACTACAGGCGGTGGCAAGTCATTCAAGAATTTTCCCTCAAAGGAAAATGGAAACAAAGGAGAGCCCAAGGTAAAGGTGGTGCCAGCGATGAAGAAAGGAAAATCTAAGCGACGACGACAACTCAATTGAAGCAAATTGCACAAAATATTGCCGGAAGGGCGTACACCGGGAGAAAAACTATCAATCAAGTTTCATTCACCCTTCTGAAGCATCAAAATTAATGGCCATTTAAAGATAGTTACGTCGAAGAAGACTTTAGGTAGGTGCAACGTTTAAGCCTGGTTTTTATCTCAGTGTAGAGGGCTGGCATCAAGATCTGAGCTGAAAATTGAATGCACGTTTTGTTGCCCCATTGTACGCCCCTGCCCCGCCCCTTTCTTACTCTTCTCCCTACGCGGCGGGTGTCTCATGGCCGCTGCTCCTTGATTTTTTCTCCAGCCTGGAACTGGGTTTTTGTTTTCATTTTTTAGTGTTTTTTTTTTTTAAAGCTGCTGCCGCATGAAATATTGCCCGAGGGGCGGTTCAATTTTGATGCATTTACAACGTTCGGGGTGTTGGTAATTATAGGGACTTTATGTCTGGAAGTTTCCTTTATGATAGGGTTTTTACTTTCAAGTTTCTTTTATATACCGTTCGTATTCCTGTTGCTGTTGTTGTTTCCGTTGAGTATCCCTCATCTTTTGATTTCTGAATTAAGTCGGTCGAATTGCTTTTTCATAGTATTGTTTTTGATTGTTTAAAACCTTTATTTCTGAAAGCCCCATGTGCGGGGAATCCTTTTCAATTCCAATTTGGAGTAGTCCATATTTCCCAACAAGAGTTCATAAATTTTATACTCCTAATTAAACTCCCTTTCTTTGTTTTTTATAGCCATCAAACATTAAGAAACAAATACCGACAAATAGTTGATGTCTTGTGTTTATTTTAAGCATGTTAAGCATCTTTGATAGAAAAGCATAAATATTTAAATACCCCGCCAGCCATTTTATTGGCGATGGGACTTTTGTGCTAGTGATGGTCGATAAAGTTTCGTATTAAAAAATACCAGAATCTTGGCTCCCCTCTAACAACTCCGATGTACGATATATTAGTGCGATAAGAATATGTTTCGACTTCACTCATCACTAGCTCAAATAAAAAAGTGAATAAAGTATTGCAGTTAAGACTTCAAGATATTGCGTTTCGCAGAAATCGTAACTGAATTCAAGGTAAGGTCGCAGTAGCAAAAAAACGAGACACAAAAGCAAAACGTAACCGAAAATCGACGTTGCAACTGCATTGCTGTGTTCATGCAAGTCAGCGTGGGGGTGTGCAAGTGTGGGTGCGCGTGATAATTAGGTTGAGTGCTGAATCCTTTTGCGACGGAAAATCGAGACAATAAAGGCGGGCGACTGACATATATACACCACATCATAGTACATAGGACACATACATATGGGGTGGAAGGGGGTTGGAGGCTGCAATATGGCAGGGGCTGCGCAGTGGCAGCGGGCCGTCGAACTTAACCTCAAATGTGGGGGGAACACGAACGTGTGGCGAAAGGCACAACAAAGCAAACAAAGCCATAGTCGTCATACGGATGGAGCATTTCACTCCAAACGTACGTGTTACCAAACGAACTCCGAACCAAAGCCATGAGCCAGACCCCGAAACACCCCGAGCCCCGCAAGCCCCAGCGAACCTGCAGGGACAGTCAGTGCAAAATCGCAAGACTTATTGCCTACTATGAAAGCAAGCACCCCCAGCCACCTCCACAAGGCCAAAGCTTAGTCCTTCTAATCGGGGATCTTCTCTTTCTCCTCACCCACAGACAACGCCAGTCCAGATCAACAGGCCAGGGCCAAGCATCTGCGCGACATGGTCAAGAAACGCCAAACAGATGCCCACGACGCTACAAGCTCGACGGATTCCGGAGAGGATGATCGCCACCACTTGCACCATCACCACCCCGGAGCCAGGAGTGCCGGACAAGCAGGCGCCTCCATCGATGGATCCTCGCCGAGCTCCTCATCGTGCCAGCACATAAAGAGGGCAGTGGACGCCACCCGCTTGCGTCGCCAGCTGAAGACCACGGGCCTGGTCTATGAGTGTTCACAATGCCAGAAGCAGGGCCAGCAAAAGCAGTCGGCGGACGCGGATTCCGACCCGAAGGCCGGCGATATCGAGTACGACAGCACGCTCTGGCTGTGCCTTAAGTGTGGCACTCAGCTTTGCGGCAGATCCAGGAACAAGCATGCCCTCGAGCATCACCAGGTGAGTGGGGAACCAGATATGAGGAAGCTAATAATAAAGGTCTGGGTGACCCGTTCATATATAGATGCCTATTATATAGATACTGTATGCCATTGGTGACTATAGTGCTCATTCTCTTATCCTTTCTCTTGCCACAGACACCCCGCTCCGAGTCCCATGCGCTGGCTATGAACACACGCTCCTTCGACATCTGGTGCTATGAATGCGACATGAAAATCTGCTCCAATCAGCGCAAGAACCTGCTGGAGTGCGTGGAGCTGGTGAAGCGATTGGCGCAGAAGCCGCCAGCCTCGCCCAATCCGCCCACCATCAGCAACATCGAGATGAAGATCAAGTCGACGGTGGAACAGCTCACGTCCATGGCTCCGCTGGCGATGGCGCCTGGAACGTCAGTGGGTACCTTCGATGAGAGTAGTGCTGGAGCAGCGGGTGGCGGAACGCGAAGTAGCCAGGTGGCCATACCATTGCCACCACCGCCCCCCAATGCAGCGCAGGCCTCCGCAGCGGGACCCAGCACCTTGACCAGTGTGCCGGGAATGGCGAAAAGAATAGGCCAGCCAAATGGAGCAGCAGGTGGAGCGGCAGTAGGAATCCGTGCGGTGGCAGGGGACACTCTTCGCAACGATTTGGATAGGTTGCCGAGAGTACGCGGGCTGACCAATCTGGGCAACACATGCTTCTTCAACGCGGTGATGCAGTGTCTCGCCCAGACACCTTTCCTGCTCAGCGTAATGAGGGAGCTGGCGGAGCCGGGGGAGGAGTAAGTAGTCTGCAGATCAACGGGAGCTATCGTATCTAAACCAAAACGTTGTTTTTCAGGTTCGTATTACCCGGCGGGACATTCAACTTTAAAGACAAGGGAGACGTCGAGCTGCCCATGATCAAGGGCACACTATCCTCCTGGGGCGGCCTTACCGCCGCACTGGCGAACGCCTTAGAAGAGCTCCAGGCTGGGGGCGGCGTCTTCACGCCCAGCAAACTCTTTGACAAGCTATGCACGAAATGTCCTCAGTTCACGGGCGGCGACCAGCACGATGCCCACGAGCTGCTGCGCCAGCTGCTGGAGAGTGTGCGCAACGAGGATCTAAAGCGCTACCAGCGGGTTATTCTGCAAAACCTCGGCTACAAGGACCAGGAGATCAGCAGCGTGTCGGAGGAGATGCGACAGAAGTGCAAGATCTATGGTAACCAGGCCGGCGAGCGTATTCTGCGCCCGGATCAGGTATTCCGCGGCTTTCTCGTCTCAACGCTCACCTGCCAGGACTGCCACAGTGTGTCCTCGCGGCACGAGTACTTCCTGGACATGTCGTTGCCAGTGGCAGTGGAGAAGCCGCAGCCACCGCAGCGCCGGAAGCCCAGTCCGGAGCACCCGCTGATCAGCCAACCTATCGCCCAGCCGGCGATCAACACCAAGTTCACTGCCGGAGAGAGCGGTGTCAGCTTCACGGCTTCTCCATCGTCATCATTCTACCTGCACTCCGATCAGACTGAGACCGCCACCCTCGGGCCCTCCAAGACACAAGTGAAGAAGGAGAAGGAGCGGGAGCGCAAGGCGAAGCGGGCCGCCAAGCACCAGCGCCACAAACAGGCCCAGAAGCTGAGCCTCAAGCTCAACGGCAGCGACCTGGCGGACTCCGCTTCAGACGCTCCACAGCTGGTCTCTTTGGGGGCGGGCGATGGCCAGGGGAGAATCGAGGGCGGTGAGCAGCCCAAGGAACAGGGCGATGACACCACGTCGTCCAGTGTTACAACCTCAGAACACTCGGACGCCGATGTGGAGGACAACCTAGTGGAAGACTCTGCACCCGTTTCCGCCTCAGCAAACACAGCCTCTAGTTCCGCCTCCACGTCGTCGGGGGGCGCGACTGGCAGCAAGTTCTACACGGATAGCAATGGAAATGCGCAGCCAGTGGGCGAGAAGCGGGATGACACTCCCGAGCACATGGACAAAGACTCGTTGGAGGAGGACGAGAATGGTGAGTTAGAGAATCGTTCTATCTTGGATGTCTATCTAAAGCTTCTCTTCCTATTCCAGACTCTGGCATTGCTACCAGTCCAGCTCCCACGGCAACCAGCAGCAGCAGCACCGTCATAGCCGGAGACTCGTTGACAAACAACTCGGGAGCCTCTTCCGGCACCTTGGAGGACACTTCTGCGCCGGCGAGCCTGGTCAGCGCTGGGCTCTCCGAGAAGGGTGCCTCCCTGATACGTCAGTTCTCGAACGGAGGAACACCTCTGGAGTCCGACACCCAAGTAAGCGTCGAGCTGGAGAAACTGAACCTAGAGGGACTCGACAAAGCTCAGAACCAGGATGAGAACCAAAGCCAGGCCCAAAAGGTGTCCGACCAACTCCTGGCCCAGGCCCAAGCTCAGGCCCAGGCCAGCGCCAGGGCGAAGCGAGTGCGCACCCAAAGCTACTCGGACTGGAGCACCACCATCGCACCGCGCTACCAATGCGAGGATGGGGAGTGCTCCGTGCAGTCGTGCCTGAATAACTTCACCGCCGTGGAGCTGATGACCGGCCAGAACAAGGTGGGCTGCGACAGCTGCACCCTGAGAATCAACGGAAGCGATCCTAAAGCCAAGTCGGTGAACACGAATGCCACCAAGCAGCTGCTGGTCTCCAGTCCGCCGGCGGTGCTCATCCTGCACCTCAAGCGCTTCCAGCTGGGTCCGCGCTGCATCTTCCGCAAGCTCACACGTCCAGTAAGCTATCCGAACCTGCTGGACATCGCGGCGTTTTGTGGGTCAAAGGTGAAGAATCTGCCGAACATCGACCGCAAGCAAAAGAAGCTGCTGTATGCCTTGTACGGGGTGGTGGAACACTCGGGCGGCATGTACGGAGGCCACTACACGGCCTACGTGAAGGTGCGCCCCAAGGTGACCCCGGACGACAAGCGCTGGAAGTTCCTGCCCCACGGTAGCAAGGCGGAACTGGACCAAGACGACGATCAGCTGAAGAAGCTGGAAGAACTCCTGGCCAAGGAGAAGGCGCGCGAGTTGCACCTCAATGCCATGGATGACAGCGACGATTTTAGCAACTCTAGCAGCAATTCCTCGACGTCAGACGAGGGCAATGCCCCGCCAACGCCTACGGAGGAGCAACAGCAGCAGGCAGCGTCACCGGGGGAGGAAGCAGCCCATGTTCAGGCGCCACCCGGGAAGTGGTACTATGTCTCAGATTCGCGGGTCCAGGAGGTGAGCGAGGACTCGGCGCTGAAGGCGCAGGCCTACCTGCTCTTCTACGAGCGGATATACTAAGTGGAGAGGGATTTCGGCGTGGGAAGCTACATATGTCTGCAACGAAAAGGTAGGAGAGGTGTGAGGCATCGTTCCGTCATGTAGCTTAGGATGTTGTGCATAGAATGAAAAATTTTAGCGATGGGTTTTGTTTTTTAGTTGTATCTACCCCGCCCACACACACTATTGATTTATACTATATATATATATATATCTAATTTTTTTTTAAACGCATTTTTGTTTACAAAACAACGAAGCTGGACTGAAAGATAATTGTGAAAATGTGAAACCATGCGGTTGCTGAAGAAAAAGACAGAGAGCGAGCGCGAAAGAGAAGGCATGCTCTCGCTCACATGCCAAATGCATTTGTTTTGGCGCAGGCCCACTCAAAATTTGATTATGTTAATCGTAGTAGAGATCAGGACAAGCTTTAGTTAGTCAAGTTTTTATATACAAAAGAGGAAACGAAATCGATAGACGGCGAGACGGTTCCGAAACGCTCATTTTTTTATTGTGAGCCATTTTTTTACATTGTTTTTGTTTAGTTTTTCTATTTATTTATGAAAGGGAAATCACAATGTTTGTTATTTCTTAGTAAGTTACGTAAATATACAACTTTTTTTACAATGGCCCAATCTAGCATTGCCTCATACCTAAATGACAAAACGTTACTTAACCGAAAGATATGTAAGTGAGGGTACTCCCTCACGTGAAAGGCAACTAAACAAAAACATAATTATAACCGGGACTTGATCGATTCCGAGGGATCCTAAAAGGAGAAACTAAATGCTGATGATGTTAATGTTATAACGAATAAAGTATGGAAAACAATAGAATAAAACCAACAACCAATTGCTCGCTTCTGCCAATAAATTTAACTTTTCAATAATATTAACATTTAAAGAATATATATATATATATACAATTTATAAAATGGGTCGTCTATATACATACACGCTCACGACCACCTAGATATTTACAATTCAAGCCGAGTAAATATTACCAACACGTAAACAAAATAGCGAAGGAAAAGTGCAACGAGAGATTTATAAACTAGCGATCATATATATATATATATTAATTAATTATAAACAGTTTATCTTATGACCTAGGTTAACTATCGATTTAATTTATAATACCTAACCTACTATGTGGACTCTGTATTATTAAAGAGTGAATCGATTTGAGAATGCTGCAACTCCGTGGTTTGTAACTGGCCGGTTGGTTTTAGTATACCCATAACAAGTCTCTAGCTCAGTAGCATTACCTGCAAATTCTTAAAAAAAAAAAATACTTGGAAATTTGATTACAAGCTAATTAAAATCAGCATCTTATCGCGTACCAAGTATCGCTAATATTCATCCCATCTGAACCCAACCCGGAGGTGGTTTCCCAAGGTCACGCTGACCGATTAATCTTGCCGTCGGCGTCGCCTCGTTGATTACTTTGCCTAGCTTCAGTCGCATGATGAGAGCAGCGCCGCTTGCATCGTTAGGTTTCTGGTTCTGGCTGGGATTAGGCCTGGGACTGGTAGTGGTGCTGCAAAGAACTGGAGACTCCAATCTAGTTTTGGCTAAGCGGTTTCTACGGTGCGAACTAGCCCGTAAGCTGCTCGAACAACATGGTTTCGAGCGTACTTTGCTTTCCAATTGTGAGTCTACCGAAATCAAAAATGTAGTCTCGCAAATAATTTGGTTCCACAGGGATTTGTCTTCTGGAGCATGAAAGCGAACTGGACACCAGCCGAACCAACACAAATCCGAATGGCTCCAAGAACTATGGACTATTTCAGATCAACAGCAGATTCTGCCAGGAAGGACGCAAGGGTGGTACCTGCAATGTCAAGTGTGAAGGTACAAGAACTGGTATTTTATTGATAATTATATATGCTATGTCTACTTTTTTCAGATCTCTTAGATGATAATCTGAGGGAGGCTGCCGCATGCGCAAAAAGAATCCAAACATCGGATGGTTTCCGGCACTGGAACGGTTGGCAGCGCTACTGTCGCAATACTCAAAACTTGCCCAATCTGAAGGTCATCTGTGGCATCTAGAATATTGATAACACTATATACACGTTATTTTATATAGGGGCTAAACTAGTTGGACAACATTTAAATATCCCATAAAAAACACATTGTATTGATGCATAATATATAAAAATATGTATGTATGTACAAGATCTCAGGCATATTTCTCGAGAGAGATTTCCCCCTCTTCGATAATTTTGCCATTTTACGAAAATTGGTTTAAAATAGAGTAGTCCGATATCAAAAAACGAATGATGCAGTTCGGTGGACATTCGAGCGCTGATTCCGAAAATGTACAGGGTTGCCAGATCGGACCAGAAATGGGCTTTCGAGAGCTCATATCTCGGCCGATTGCAGCCCGATCTGGCAACGCTTGGCCTTTTCGGAATCAGCGTCCCAAAGTCTATCGAACTGCATACCAATTTTGCCGAAATCGGACAAAAAAATTTTCGGCGAAAATTGGAAAAAATCGTGATGTATAGCCTTTCCATTTTTGCGAAAAAACGGTCGAAAATTAGTTGTTCGATATCGAAAATCGTGGTATGCAGTTCGATGGACATTCGAGCGCTGAATCCGAAAATGCCAAGCGTTGCCAGATCGGACCAGAAATAGAGATTCTAGAGCCCATATCTCGGCCGATTGCAGCCCGATCTGGCAACGCTTGGCATTTTCGGAATCAGCGTCCCAAAGTCTATCGAACTGCATACCAATTTTGCCGAAATCGGACAAAAAAATTTTCGGCGAAAATTGGAAAAAATCGTGATGTATATACCTTTCCATTTTTGCGAAAAAACGGTCGAAAATGAGTTGTTCGATATCGAAAATCGTGGTATGCAGTTCGATGGACATTCGAGCGCTGATTCCGAAAATGTACAGGGTTGCCAGATCGGACCAGAAATGGGCTTTCGAGAGCTCATATCTCGGCCGATTGCAGCCCGATCTGGCAACGCTTGGCCTTTTCGGAATCAGCGTCCCAAAGTCTATCGAACTGCATACCAATTTTGCCGAAATCGGACAAAAAAATTTTCGGCGAAAATTGGAAAAAATCGTGATGTATATACCTTTCCATTTTTGCGAAAAAACGGTCGAAAATGAGTTGTTCGATATCGAAAATCGTGGTATGCAGTTCGATGGACATTCGAGTGCTGAATCCGAAAATGCCAAGCGTTGCCAGATCGGACCAGAAATAGAGATTCTAGAGCCCATATCTCGGCCGATTGCAGCCCGATCTGGCAACGCTTGGCATTTTCGGAATCAGCGTCCCAAAGTCGATCGAACTGCATACCAATTTTGCCGAAATCGGACAAAAAAATTTTCGGCGAAAATTGGAAAAAATCGTGATGTATAGCCTTTCCATTTTTGCGAAAAAACGGTCGAAAATGAGTTGTTCGATATCGAAAATCGTGGTATGCAGTTCGATGGACATTCGAGCGCTGAATCCGAAAATGCCAAGCGTTGCCAGATCGGACCAGAAATAGAGATTCTAGAGCCCATATCTCGGCCGATTGCAGCCCGATCTGGCAACGCTTGGCATTTTCGGAATCAGCGTCCCAAAGTCTATCGAACTGCATACCAATTTTGCCGAAATCGGACAAAAAAATTTTCGGCGAAAATTGGAAAAAATCGTGATGTATATACCTTTCCATTTTTGCGAAAAAACGGTCGAAAATGAGTTGTTCGATATCGAAAATCGTGGTATGCAGTTCGATGGACATTCGAGCGCTGATTCCGAAAATGTACAGGGTTGCCAGATCGGACCAGAAATGGGCTTTCGAGAGCTCATATCTCGGCCGATTGCAGCCCGATCTGGCAACGCTTGGCATTTTCGGAATCAGCGTCCCAAAGTCGATCGAACTGCATACCAATTTTGCCGAAATCGGACAAAAAAATTTTCGGCGAAAATTGGAAAAAATCGTGATGTATAGCCTTTCCATTTTTGCGAAAAAACGGTCGAAAATGAGTTGTTCGATATCGAAAATCGTGGTATGCAGTTCGATGGACATTCGAGCGCTGAATCCGAAAATGCCAAGCGTTGCCAGATCGGACCAGAAAAAGAGATTCTAGAGCCCATATCTCGGCCGATTGCAGCCCGATCTGGCAACGCTTGGCATTTTCGGAATCAGCGTCCCAAAGTCTATCGAACTGCATACCAATTTTGCCGAAATCGGACAAAAAATTTTCGGCGAAAATTGGAAAAAATCGTGATGTATAGCCTTTCCATTTTTGCGAAAAAACGGTCGAAAATGAGTTGTTCGATATCGAAAATCGTGGTATGCAGTTCGATGGACATTCGAGCGCTGATTCCGAAAATGTACAGGGTTGCCAGATCGGACCAGAAATGGGCTTTCGAGAGCTCATATCTCGGCCGATTGCAGCCCGATCTGGCAACGCTTGGCCTTTTCGGAATCAGCGTCCCAAAGTCTATCGAACTGCATACCAATTTTGCCGAAATCGGACAAAAAATTTTCGGCGAAAATTGGAAAAAATCGTGATGTATAGCCTTTCCATTTTTGCGAAAAAACGGTCGAAAATTAGTTGTTCGATATCGAAAATCGTGGTATGCAGTTCGATGGACATTCGAGCGCTGAATCCGAAAATGCCAAGCGTTGCCAGATCGGACCAGAAATAGAGATTCTAGAGCCCATATCTCGGCCGATTGCAGCCCGATCTGGCAACGCTTGGCATTTTCGGAATCAGCGTCCCAAAGTCTATCGAACTGCATACCAATTTTGCCGAAATCGGACAAAAAATTTTCGGCGAAAATTGGAAAAAATCGTGATGTATAGCCTTTCCATTTTTGCGAAAAAACGGTCGAAAATGAGTTGTTCGATATCGAAAATCGTGGTATGCAGTTCGATGGACATTCGAGCGCTGATTCCGAAAATGTACAGGGTTGCCAGATCGGACCAGAAATGGGCTTTCGAGAGCTCATATCTCGGCCGATTGCAGCCCGATCTGGCAACGCTTGGCCTTTTCGGAATCAGCGTCCCAAAGTCTATCGAACTGCATACCAATTTTGCCGAAATCGGACAAAAAATTTTCGGCGAAAATTGGAAAAAATCGTGATGTATAGCCTTTCCATTTTTGCGAAAAAACGGTCGAAAATGAGTTGTTCGATATCGAAAATCGTGGTATGCAGTTCGATGGACATTCGAGCGCTGAATCCGAAAATGCCAAGCGTTGCCAGATCGGACCAGAAATAGAGATTCTAGAGCCCATATCTCGGCCGATTGCAGCCCGATCTGCCTTTCCATTTTTGCGAAAAAACGGTCGAAAATGAGTTGTTCGATATCGAAAATCGTGGTATGCAGTTCGATGGACATTCGAGCGCTGATTCCGAAAATGTACAGGGTTGCCAGATCGGACCAGAAATGGGCTTTCGAGAGCTCATATCTCGGCCGATTGCAGCCCGATCTGGCAACGCTTGGCCTTTTCGGAATCAGCGTCCCAAAGTCTATCGAACTGCATACCAATTTTGCCGAAATCGGACAAAAAAATTTTCGGCGAAAATTGGAAAAAATCGTGATGTATAGCCTTTCCATTTTTGCGAAAAAACGGTCGAAAATGAGTTGTTCGATATCGAAAATCGTGGTATGCAGTTCGATGGACATTCGAGCGCTGAATCCGAAAATGCCAAGCGTTGCCAGATCGGACCAGAAATAGAGATTCTAGAGCCCATATCTCGGCCGATTGCAGCCCGATCTGGCAACGCTTGGCATTTTCGGAATCAGCGTCCCAAAGTCTATCGAACTGCATACCAATTTTGCCGAAATCGGACAAAAAAATTTTCGGCGAAAATTGGAAAAAATCGTGATGTATAGCCTTTCCATTTTTGCGAAAAAACGGTCGAAAATGAGTTGTTCGATATCGAAAATCGTGGTATGCAGTTCGATGGACATTCGAGCGCTGATTCCGAAAATGTACAGGGTTGCCAGATCGGACCAGAAATGGGCTTTCGAGAGCTCATATCTCGGCCGATTGCAGCCCGATCTGGCAACGCTTGGCCTTTTCGGAATCAGCGTCCCAAAGTCTATCGAACTGCATACCAATTTTGCCGAAATCGGACAAAAAAATTTTCGGCGAAAATTGGAAAAAATCGTGATGTATAGCCTTTCCATTTTTGCGAAAAACGGTCGAAAATGAGTTGTTCGATATCGAAAATCGTGGTATGCAGTTCGATGGACATTCGAGCGCTGAATCCGAAAATGCCAAGCGTTGCCAGATCGGACCAGAAATAGAGATTCTAGAGCCCATATCTCGGCCGATTGCAGCCCGATCTGGCAACGCTTGGCATTTTCGGAATCAGCGTCCCAAAGTCTATCGAACTGCATACCAATTTTGCCGAAATCGGACAAAAAAATTTTCGGCGAAAATTGGAAAAAATCGTGATGTATAGCCTTTCCATTTTTGCGAAAAAACGGTCGAAAATGAGTTGTTCGATATCGAAAATCGTGGTATGCAGTTCGATGGACATTCGAGCGCTGAATCCGAAAATGCCAAGCGTTGCCAGATCGGACCAGAAATGGGCTTTCGAGAGCTCATATCTCGGCCGATTGCAGCCCGATCTGGCAACGCTTGGCCTTTTCGGAATCAGCGTCCCAAAGTCTATCGAACTGCATACCAATTTTGCCGAAATCGGACAAAAAAATTTTCGGCGAAAATTGGAAAAAATCGTGATGTATAGCCTTTCCATTTTTGCGAAAAAACGGTCGAAAATGAGTTGTTCGATATCGAAAATCGTGGTATGCAGTTCGATGGACATTCGAGCGCTGAATCCGAAAATGCCAAGCGTTGCCAGATCGGACCAGAAAAAGAGATTCTAGAGCCCATATCTCGGCCGATTGCAGCCCGATCTGGCAACGCTTGGCCTTTTCGGAATCAGCGTCCCAAAGTCTATCGAACTGCATACCAATTTTGCCGAAATCGGACAAAAAATTTTCGGCGAAAATTGGAAAAAATCGTGATGTATAGCCTTTCCATTTTTGCGAAAAAACGGTCGAAAATGAGTTGTTCGATATCGAAAATCGTGGTATGCAGTTCGATGGACATTCGAGCGCTGAATCCGAAAATGCCAAGCGTTGCCAGATCGGACCAGAAAAAGAGATTCTAGAGCCCATATCTCGGCCGATTGCAGCCCGATCTGGCAACGCTTGGCGTTTTCGAAGTCAGCGTCCCAAAGTCTATCGAACTGCATACCAATTTTGCCGAAATCGGACAAAAAATTTTCGGCGAAAATTGGAAAAAATCGTGATGTATAGCCTTTCCATTTTTGCGAAAAAACGGTCGAAAATGAGTTGTTCGATATCGAAAATCGTGGTATGCAGTTCGATGGACATTCGAGCGCTGATTCCGAAAATGTACAGGGTTGCCAGATCGGACCAGAAATGGGCTTTCGAGAGCTCATATCTCGGCCGATTGCAGCCCGATCTGGCAACGCTTGGCATTTTCGGAATCAGCGTCCCAAAGTCTATCGAACTGCATACCAATTTTGCCGAAATCGGACAAAAAATTTTCGGCGAAAATTGGAAAAAATCGTGATGTATAGCCTTTCCATTTTTGCGAAAAAACGGTCGAAAATGAGTTGTTCGATATCGAAAATCGTGGTATGCAGTTCGATGGACATTCGAGCGCTGAATCCGAAAATGCCAAGCGTTGCCAGATCGGACCAGAAATAGAGATTCTAGAGCCCATATCTCGGCCGATTGCAGCCCGATCTGGCAACGCTTGGCATTTTCGGAATCAGCGTCCCAAAGTCTATCGAACTGCATACCAATTTTGCCGAAATCGGACAAAAAATTTAAAAAAAAAAAAATAAAATAAGTTATTTTGTCTCTGATATTATTCAGAAAGCTGGATCCAAAAACAATTAAAACAATTTGAAGAGTTTAATGAGAGTTTTTATTTAAATATTATATAATTTCATAAAAATTCATGTACTAAGGCGATTAAATGTTTATGATTTATAAAGAAATGGTGTTGCGGCATCCTGCTATCACGGCCAGAAGAGCAATCCGTTTGAAATGTTTTACGTTTACGGCTGTTATGGGCCAATAACTTATGGATAATATCGATCCAGATGTTCCAGCGGATGCAGAACAATGAAAGATTTTTCGAAAAAGATTATACCTAAATAAAATGTAAAATGTTTGATTAAAAATTTGTTTGTATTACACGGATGATTTCAGAGCTCACCTTTGGGTAATGCCCTTCGGCCACGACCGCAAAAACAGTAATTTACGTCAAACTAAAAATATTTGATATGCTCTGTATTCATCCTACCTCAACTAGAAGCTGAAAATTATAAAAATAAAAAAGTGAACACCCAAATGATGTTTTCATTAATACTCACTTGTTAATTTCTTTTTTGCCAAGTCGGCTGCCATAAGTTGCAGTCCTTCCTCAGCGAAAAAAATGGCGGCTGTTGAAAAATGGCGAATGTTAATAATCATGTGTTGGAAAGTCTAGTAATTAAAATTATGGCAAGTCCATCTGTGCTATAAAGTGCAAGATCACGTGTGCTGTTAAGCGGAAGATCAAGTGTGCTGTAAAGCGCAATACCAAGTGTTGGTTAACGTATGAATTTTAGCGGAGAGCGGCGGAACTGTTTTCTTTCAAACAATTTAAAAAGTGCCCCACTTTTCTATAGCTTATAATATTTTATCACAAACTTACATTAGTATAATTTATTTAAAAACGTCTTTGATGGAAAAAGATTCTCTGTTGAGATCGCATAAGACTGTGTGTATGCTTCTCTCAAATGGGCTTTTGAGCTTTGTCGATTGTTGCTCTCTACGAATATTTTCGAAGCTTTTCTGCGAAACTTAGTCACCCAGTCTGCCCTCTCGCTCGCCCCACCATCTGACGTGGGGCTTTCGGACACGTTGGGGATTTCATTTGGCGACATCGGCTGAACGACTGTGGAGCGTTCGTCGGCTGATGGCAGTCCTCGAAAAGTATTATTTTTCTACCCTTTCCGTTCTATTTGACAACGTGGTCAAAACTTAATCCAACTCCCAAGTGGAGGCAAGTTCGCAAAGTCAAGAAACTAAAAGTCCAGTGCCCGGTGCCAGAGATACACTCTCTGATTCATACAAAGCAATATATACCAAATAAAAATGTATATTCCATGAAAAGTCTGCCACTGAATAAAAATGCAGTACTGTGATATTGTGTTGGCCCCACCCCTGAAGAAACCCCAGACCCTATACCCCTGATTGCATAAGCCCCCAAAGCCCCACATCCGTGACTCGTACCCCTGTCTTAAAAAATATCTAAAGAGTCCCAAAAAGATTGTGTGATACAGATGAAGCTTACGAATCTAAGTGAAGTCAAGTCCATTTTTTGTTTTTGTGCTCAAGATCCCCAAGACCCCCCACCGTCCAAACTTACTTACATAAGTTATGAAATAAATGCCATACTATAAAGTATAAGTGCCCCATCATGATATTATATTTAATTCCCCTGCTATGTTATAAAAAATAAATGAATATCTACATATGTGTGAAACAAAGCCAATTTTTAAAGATTTGTGGGAAAATAAAAGGGGGTCTTGGTGGAAAACAATTTAATGATGGGAAATTAAATGAGAATATAGAAGAATAGCCTCATGTTGTGAAATTGATCATGAGATGGATGTAGTTTTGATGTTGAAGCTTAAAACCAACGAAGTCAGAGCGCGTGTGATGTTTTTTAAAGTTTTGAATACTATCTTTTATATAAACAGCGAAACTATAAATGATTTGTAACATAATTATCCAATTAATAAACTAAACTTTGAAAGATATTTGCCCTAATAAGCCTAAATAATCATTTAAATATCCAAATAATAAACTAAACTATGAAAGACATCTCCAATAAAACTTCTCACGTTAATATGAATTAATAAAAACTCCCTTCAATCATAAAAAAAGTACCTTCGATTAGTGCATGAGTCATCTTTGGTTGCCAAAGATTATGGAGCACTATATCGTAACAATGAACTAACTATGTATGAATGATCTTTAATGGATCATGCCCTTAATGTCCTGCAAAGTGATCCAGTTCCACGTGATCTGTGAACCTTGCCTGGGAGACAAGAAATGTATCTTTTTTCCAGACCTTTCTGTATCCAGTTTGTTTATTCCATAAACTTGCGAAATAGAGAACAAAGTCGATTTCGTTTGGAGCTATTTCATCACAGGGCGAAATTCCGAAAAAAAATCCCCACTTCGGAGAGAGCTTTGTTTTCATGTTTTTTCCACTTTTATGCTCGCAATCGGAACGACGCCAAATCCACGTAGTTGATAGTGAATTACGAAAACAACACTCGCTGGCAGTCAGCTACAGTGGGGCCTCTTTGGGGGAAACACGTTAGCGATAAGATTTATGGGTCTCGATGGCTAAAAAAGTCTACATTATGATTGTTTTGTCTCACTTGCAGATAGAGATTTGAAGATATTTTGTTTAAAATCTTTGAAGATTCTGTGAATCTCATATCTTTGAGATTGTATTTGAGTTTGTTTTGAGTTTATTTTTAGTTTACGGTTTATTTGAGTCCTAATCTGTACTAATTAGCATAAATAAAATGCATTGTTGTACTTAACTAAGTTTAGTTTGTTTACATTATTGGCTTCTTGAGGTAGAAAAGCTGGGTTTTGGTTGTGTCAACACTGGCTCTGGTTTAGGCCTGGTCCCTACGCGACCTATCGATGAATTTAGAGGGGTTCTACTGTGCCTATATCGCTCTCCCTTTGTTTGCGACGCATTTTGCACTGCTGCCGGCCCCCAGGCCCCAACGCACACCCCCTGCCACTACCCTGCTCTGTTGGCGTTGCCCTGCTCTGTTGGCCGGCGTCAGAGTATAAAAGTTGCCGGCCGGCAAGCGTTTGTCATCAGTTCCAAGCTGTCAGCCTTGTGGAAAATATTCACTGGTTACATTTTTGAAGCAGGAAAGCTAGAAGCAATCCAAAACAAACAAAAACTCAGCCAACCAAGCTATAAGCCCAAACAAAGAACTACGATTTTCATCATCAGAGGAAAACCAGTAGAGATCAGAGCAGCCATGAGCGAGTTGGCCAAGTTGCAGAACCAGGAGCAGGAGCGCGAGGTGCTCGACTGCGACATCGAATTTGAGGAGGAGGAGCCCCAGACCTCGGCGGATGCGGCGGCTAAGCAGCAGAAGGACAAGCGTGTCAGGAGCGCCAGGTCCGACAAGCTCTTCAGCAAGGCCATCAAGAAGGTGAGCAAGGTGCAGCGCATGCTGGAGCAGGCGGTGATCCTGCTGGCCGAGGAGGAGGCGAAGCAGGTTGCTAGCTCCAAGGACAAGAAGAAGGACAAGAAAAAGGCGAAGAAGCAGGCCAAGAAGCTGGCCAAGAAGGAAAAGAAGAAGGCCAAGAAGCAGAAGAAGGACCAGGCGGAGACCATTGAAGTCGATCTGTTGGACGATGACTTGGAAGACGAACCCATCAAAGCTCCTCGCTCCCGGTCTTCCAGCGTCAGCTCGAACAGTTCCAGTAGCTCCTCAAGCTCCAGCTCTAGCTCAAGCTCCAGCTCCAGCTCAAGCTCCTCGAGCTCCAGCGACTCTTCGGTGGATGAGCTTGGCTATGGCTGGCGGCGTCATGGACGCAAGCATGGTCATGGCCACGGCCACAAACATGGACATGGACATGGCCATGGTCGTCGTCACGGCAAAGGACATGGACCCCATGGTCACCACGGTCGCCATGGTCGTCATGGTCACCACCATGTGAGACCCCATCACTTTGGACCCCATCACTTCGGTCCCCATCACTTTGGACCTCATCGCTTTGGGCCTCACCACTTTGGACCCCATCACTTTGGGCCCCACCACTTTGGACCACACCACTTGGGTCCCCAGTTCGAACGCTGGCTGGATGCCTGCCCCGACCAGTTGCAGTTTTTTCGGTGGCTGGGCCTTCCGCAGGCCCCTCTACAAATCGCGGACCCACGCCGGAGGTGCCGATCGCTGTCTAGATCGCATCATGGACATCACGGAGATCAGGGATTCGAGTTCAGGGGATTCCACGGACACGGACACGGACATGGCCACAAGAGTCGATCACATGACCGTCGAGTGAGGCGCTCGTCCTCCTCCTCCTCCAGTTCTTCGAGCAGTTCTAGTTCCAGTTCGAGTTCGGAGAGTGAGCCCGAGACCCGGAAGAAGCATAAGCAACCTCGCAAGAAGAGCCACAACCGTTCTTCGTCTTCATCGAGCTCAAGCTCGAGTTCCAGTTCGGGTGAAGAGAAGAAATGCGACAAGAAGTCCAAACGCGAGACCCGTAAGAAGCATCCTCGCAAGAAGAGCCACAACCGCTCCTCGTCTTCATCGAGTTCCAGTTCGGGTGAGGAGAAGAAATGCCACAGGAAGTCCAAAGGACATCATGGCCACCACGGAGGGATTCCCCATCATGGCCACCACGGTCACGGACCTGATAGACATGGACCATGGGCCCACGGCCCAAGGATCGGACACGGGCCACATCATCATCATGGATTCTTCGGACCAACTAACCGTGATGCCCCTTTTTTTCCCGGACCTTTCGGACACCCATTTGAACCACGACTTGGCCCCATTGATCCCGTTGGACCTCCACCGCCACCACCAACCTTCCCCGGAAACCCAGTTCGGTTTTCGCAAGACTGTGACATCCGTTCCGAGTCGCAGAAGAGATGCAAGTCAAAGGGCGATAAACAATGCAAGAAGGGAAAGAAGCACCACGGCCATGGAAAGCACTAAGCTCCGAGATGCTCCTTCATCCATAATCCCACTATAACATCAAAAATTGTTTGAAAACTTTATATCGTATTCCCAAAAAAAGCTTTACTAGTTTTTAGTTACCAGGCATTTGCCTACATCTATATTCCTATTATGATATTCACATACCACAAAACTATATAACCAACTGAAAAAATAAAAAAAAAACTTTATAAATACATAGACGGTTGTTTTAATTATTAGTCGATTTCAGAATTCAAATTTCAGACCAACTGCTAAGCCATAATCTCATGAAATCATCATTAAGGCAGCACTAAATCATGCAAGGAACTAAGCCAACTCTTTATTGAAATTCAACAAAATTCGTTTATTTATTATTATCCTCCCATATCCTCTTGTTCTGTGCTGCTCTGGCTCGGGATTAGTGGGCAGCTGCATTGTACACGGCCCATAATTATAATTATTTAATTATATCTGACAATTCGGATGGCCGGGCAGCGGCGATGATTAAATTGCATTAATAATGCGTCGGCGCTGATAAAGACATCAGGCCCGAAAAGCAAACAGATCCCAGCAGAACGGAGCCGCACAAAAAACCAAATCCGGATATAATCGCATGACGGGAATTAAACGCAATTCGGCCACCACTGGCCGCGAATCCAATTTGAAATTGAAATAATGGCCAAAATAAATAATTATTCATCGTGGGAGCGGGGTGAGTTAATCGCAATTTTCCTGTTTTCCAACAGATAGTTTTTGTGGCCAGCCTCGGCGGCTCTTTGGGCATGACGGGCTAGATAAGATGGGTATTCCTAGCCTGCGAGGTTTTCCCAAAAGGCTGACGAAGCCAGTGGCGCTATCTTGGTGAGTGGGCTGATCGATAAGCCCCACGAACCGATAAGGAACCAGAAGTGTGCCCTCCCCCTTTCTATTACGATTCCTATCGTGGTTATCGGAGGAGGGTGATTCTATTAGTAGGCCCCACGCAGCCATCCATCAACGGGCCTAACTGGGCCAACCTGTCGATGGGACTGGCTTGGCAGGTGCAGCTCCCCTTTGGTCAAGTTATACTGGGAAGAGCCCGCAGCCCGAAGCAGCGGAAAAGCTGTTCCCAGCTGCGAAGGGGAAATCCCCGTGGTTCCTGCTTCCCAGATTCCGTCCTCCCTCCCAAAATAAAACAACATTTGGCATCTCGCGTAAACTTTGAACGCTGGTCATTAGAGAATAGTTCCACGATTCCATAATTGTATCCCTTTTAAGGATCGGATAAATATTTCCAAAGAAACAGCCTTCGGAAGAGGCCAAAGTTGCGATTTTTGGATTTCCTGGATTTTCAAGGGGGTCCATCAGAAAAATGTGGAAAAAATCTAAAAAAAATGTGCCCTCCAGGTTTGAATGCAGTTTAGTTAAGAATCAATCCACGATTCCATAACTGTATCCCTTTTAAGGATCGGATGAATATTTCCCAAGATACAGCCTTCGGAAGAGGCCAAAGTTGCTTTTTTTTGGATTTTCAAGGGGATTTTGGGTTTTTTTTGGATTTCCTGGATTTTCATCAGAAAAACTTGAATAAAATTGAAAGTATTCAATTTAGTTTCCAGGATTTAAATGCAGTTAAATGTAGAACAGTTCTAGAAAGGCATCCTGTTTAGGGGTGGGACGGAGATTGGCAAAGTTACAACGATGGGAACAGTGCAGAAAGCACTTCCTGCCAGTGTACTGCAGCGCCTTCCCCAGTAGCCGGCTTAAGAGAGCGCCTAAGAGAGCGAGATACTGGGAACAGTGGGGCAGTGGGAACAGCTGGGAACAGTTGGGGCCGCTTAATTAATGAACGAGCGGCCGGCCAGGGGAAGTGGCTTTTGTCTCTGGCGTGTCTGGTGCGGCGGGCGGCGAGGCGGCAGTGGCGCCCCCGGAGGCCGCTCTGCTCTGCAGAGCTGTGGCCAGAGTTGAAGGCTCTGGGGCAGCCGAGCCGGGTAGTTGGCCTGTGTGTGGCTTAAGTGCTGTTTAATAATGAAACAGTGCGAGCTGCGGGGGGAATCGAACGCTTCGGGGCGTTGAGGCCGCCGCAGCAGCGGTTTCTGACCCCGAGTGCGACCCGCTGGCGGTTGGCTTTGGCTGCCAATAGCACCGACCAGGAAGTTGGCTATCGGGGGAAGTCTTCCCTCGGACAGTCAACAGGTGAGCCGCACACACACACACTCCAACTCCCACTCACACAAAGGCTAGAGGAGGGCATGACCAGAGCGATGGCTAGAGGGGGCGTGCGTTTTCAAAGGAAAACTTTATTCAATTTTGTGACAATATGACAGGCGCAGCAGCAACTTTGGGCTGCCCTTTTTGTTTATCGCTTTTATTTATGTATGTCCTTTGCTTTTGCTGACATTTTGGAAAGTTGATTTGGTGTTTACAGGCATTCAGGACACTCGGAGAAAAGCGGTTGCCCATCAAGTTCAGAGCCATTGTTGCCCCTGGTCGGAAGTCTGCTGGCTGATGGTTTTTGGTTACAAGTGTATCCAATGTCCCAGGACTAGTATCCCTGTTTCTCTCAGTGCACCTGTTGTCACACCCCCGGATCACTGCCAGTTGCAGGCCCCCCCCGACTCGACCGAGAACTGCGATTGCTTGAACCAAAAAAGATTTCTGTTTTCCAATTTCCTAAAAACAAAAGGCGGATGAACGGCGGCCAGGAACAAAGGTGGAGCTTACTGGGGGCAAGCGAAAGTGTGGCATGAATAGAGGAAGCTGCCGGAAGTGGATTTTTGAGCGGAAATAATTTTGCCACATGTCGGTGAAATAAAAAAAAAAAAAACACGTAGGGGGCTGAAACAAAGTCACGCGCAGACCAAGGAGCCAAGGAGGACGTGGCGCAAATCCTTCCGCTGTCGTCACTGTCGAAAGCTTTAAATTCAATATAAGCGGAGGATTGCCCTCCTGCCTCGCTCCTGGCTCCTGGCTCCCGGCTCCGCTCCGCACCATTTGCCGCTGCACACTATCCGCCCTGTCTTAATAATTTCCCATCTTGTTTCCCTCGCATTTTCATTTTCATTTTCATTCTCGTTTTCGTTTTCATTTTGCTCCGCAGGTGGAGGGGCTTTGGGGACCTGCCCCACCGCCCCCCAGCCGTCCAAGGCAAGTAACTGCCGAGTCCTTGAGCCAAATATCTCCGGGACGGATGTGTCAAGTCGGAATTGTGTGCAAACTTTAATTTGGCCATCAGGCCTTCATTTAAACCGGAATATCGAGAAGTAATTCATTAAAATGGAATTCAAAACTCCCATTGATGTGGCAGGTGCTGAATTATTCAGGGATTTAACCATTTATGTGGCGAATAAAATAACTATTATGTTTGTTGAATAGTTAAATAATAAATTGCAAGTGCAGGATGCATTTTAAACACAATCTCATCGCATGATTGGCCTTCGAATGGATTGTAGAAACAAGGCCCATCCGTAGCCCCCGAAAGTATGCTGCGTTTCTTGAACATTCCACTGAGAAACATTCCGTTCTACTCTGGTTACATCACGAGGCGCGGAGGAGCGGGGCGGCACTCGCCCCCCGGAAAAACACTTGCCCTCCTGCCCCGTCTCATGTTTTTCGGGAACAGCCACCGCCACTGACTTAACTGGCAAACAATGGCCGCCGTAATACTACACAATAGATATTTGTCATGGGCGGGGCAGTGAAGGGGGTGAAAGCGGGTTAGGTGCGAATGCAGATACATAGAAAGTTATACGAATGTTACGTGAGCAAAATGCCAAAGCAGTGAAAACTGTAACAATGAGCGGGTGACCCCAGCGCGAAGGCCCCCGCCCAGTGATAACCCTCCCCCCGGGCTCACGGCTCTCGGAGCTCGGTTGCAACGCATTTCGTATGCAACGCTTGTCCGGTAGCGCAACCTTTACGGTTCTGGTTCTCCATGTTCACCTCCGAAGGGCCATCCTCCGGCCAGCGCTTTTAGTTCCAGCCTGGCTAAAACAAACAGCAGGAATATAAAAAGGGGGCAAGACAAGCAGGAGCAGCACAGGACAGGACAAGAGTCTGGCCAGGACGAAAATGAGAAGACAAAAAGTGCAGTTTGCAAGGACAACGCAGCGTAAGCTCAAAGTCCAGGTCAGAGGTCGAGGCAGTGGGATACTTATTAGTTGATATTAAAATATCAACCAGAAACTAGCAGTTGGGCTAACATCTCTGGCCAACATGGCGTATACTTGATATGAGTATCTCCCGCCAAGCTATCCTACAGGGTATCAGCACCTACCTCCTAGGCACCTACAGAGAACCATTTAGTTGGACTTCTCACCAACTTTAAACAAGGCAATTAAAAGACTAGGACAACCTATTTTAGAGGCTGCATGTTACTTGGAATATTGGCATTTGGGAGGGCAGAGCCACAAGCAGGGTCATAAATATTTGGTCTTAAAGCCGGGCCGTTTAAAAGCCCGGTAATTGGAAACCAGAATCGGGCGCAGCATGAAAAATGCGAAAACGAAACCTAAATGGCCAAAAATTAAATGGTTTAAATTGTAAGCGAAATGGGGGGCTCGCATAATGCGCCCCAGACAGTAAATTATCACGGTTCTAGTATGTTTGCAAATAACAGAAATACATATGTTTTTCAGAGATCCTATGATTGGGAATGGCTCGCTGGGGAAAAGGTTTCAAAAACACTGCGAATGTTGGATATTTATGGGAAATTCAATGCCAGGTATCCTGTTTCTGGCTTTCGGACTTTAATTAATCTATCCGGTTATTTGTTTTAATTGAGGAGAGAGATATGTGATAGGTCATTAAAATGTATATTTTTAAATAGCATCTGCATACGAGATGTGACAAATCTGACGCTATAAAAGCCAATTATTCCATTTGCTTAGTCTCTGCCCTCGGCTAGCACACAGCCATACATTCGCTCGTTCTCGAAATTAAATCAAAATCTTTATTAAAACATTTTATGCAAATGAATAAGTAAGCAAGTGGCAGGCAGGCATTCAGGCATCGAGATACACCAGATACAGAATCCGATTCAGATACAGATACAGAACCGGACTGGGCTGGCTGGCTGGCTGGGTGACTGACAGCCGTCAGGAGTGTCTCAGACAGAAATAGACAGGCGGCGGAAAAAGGGCGGCCGCCAGGCTACAGGCAACAGTTACACATTTACATAAATATTACAAGGCTATTACTCGTCTGCCACGCCCCCCTTTAA